GCTCAGCTTTGTTGAGACAGTTATACATGTACAAGTTTAGAAACCTGCAGCTGTAAGTCTGTCAAAACAGACGCAATTTGCACATCATCCTGTGAGCAATCATGTTAGGATTTCACAAATTTTATACATAACTGATTATGATTCATTTAAAATAAATAATCAGAAAACAATTCATGCGTTTGGAGATTTTTCGCAGCTGAAATCATGCTATATGTTATACTGTTGGTAGCCTGTACGGATCTCTGATCTTAGGAGTTAAAGGTGGAGATGTTACTTTTCCCAAAAAAAGTCATTGGTCAAAAAGACATCAGTCAAGTTGAGACCTTGCAGTGGATATGCCCTTGGAGACAGAGCACACAAATATGTCCGTTTGGCTCTTAATAACAGAGAAGTGCTAACGAACTTGCGTCAAAGAGCAAACAGTGTATGGAACACCATCAGTGTACGCCATTAGATCTGTGGTCAGATGCTCAATAAGTTATAGGCCGAGATACTTGTGAAATGCAGCAGCTATCATGAACTAAGTAGATCAGCTGCTGATAGCGTCAGCCAGTGTCAGCCACGGACATTCATAGATATAGAAGCATGCCATGAAAGCATGTTTATTTTTGATAAAAAATAAATAAATACAGAAGAGGTCAAATGAGCAAACAAGCAGGTAAAGCAAGTATAAAATCTGGCGCAGGACAATTGTTCATCAAATGTTGGCAATGATGGTCCACCTTGTTGCACTTTGCCAAGCAGAAGGTGACAAGCCGCCAAATCAGAATCAGAATCGGAATCAGACATACTTTATCGATCCCTGAAGGCTAACTGTGAAAAAATAAAATAAAATAGAATGCCATGAAGGCCGGCTTCAGTGCAATCAGCTAACCTCTGGAGTTAACCAAGTGACCATGGATGCACTGCGCAAAGACGGTGTGTGTGAAAGAAAGTGGTAATTTTGTGGTGAAAAGGCAAACCAGAACTCTCTCTAGTGGCATGATGAAAGAGGGTACAACTCAATAATTTAACTAAGTAAAAAATCAAGAAGTACAAAGAAAGAAGAAAGCTGAAAGCTGGCAAAAAAAAAACAACTATCAGACGCAACTGCAACAGGCTGCATGCACGGTAGGCACATGCGCACTACTTGACACAGCACTAACCTCTCAAAATTTGTGCATTACGCAATTAAGTACATAGTGTACGCAGTGTAGGCAAGGCTACAACATGAAGTGTCCGATTTGAGAAACAGCATGAGCTTTGCAGTGACGAGGGCGGACAGAGAAAGGACTTGACACTCAGTTGTCCAACTCAGTGCACAGTGCTATGGTGTAGGAGTCCCAGAGAGTAGGCACTTGGACACAATCAACCTCTGACCAACAAAGGAACCCATGAATTTGTGTCCAGAACAAACAGTGTTGTGCTACAATCAATCCAATTGTAGTAATGGCATGTCAGTTTAGCTGTTAGTGGTTTGCGGCTGTGGTTCACAAATAACAGAAATAGTGATGTTCTGTTTGACACTTCTGAATGTTGACATTTAACATAAATACATTCATACATACAGGAAATTTGGACCCCAGAAATTGCTCTGAAAATGATCAGTACAAAGCTACATCAGACAGTCCTCTTTATATTAAAGTTCTTCATGATGACTTTTACCTGTGCTATAACTGACTCCTCCAAGATGTAATAAAACATTTAGCTCAAGTGAATTTCTGTCTGTAGTGTACTGGATGATACACCAGTGCACATTTGCAGTTCTACACAGGAGGTGGTACATTTTTCATTTGGTATGAATGGATTATTTAAAAAACAAAACAATAACAACAAGCTGACAGTTGCAATTTCTAACCTTCTTCCCAGGCTACTGCTATCGTATCAGGTTATCATGTAGGGCTTTGATATTGAATCAAAACACTGTGTAATGTAAAAGGGATCACAGAGAGGTATCTCTCAATTGCGAATTTATAGCCTCTTTTATAGCTTGTTAATTTGTTTTTTACGACCTGCACTGTGGGGCTGTAAGTATACTCCTCCTTGCTGCAAGTAGGCGAACATGCACAGGGGTCGTTCAAACACTTTTGCATGGCTTGTGAAATGTTTGTGGGTTTTTTTTTTTTTCACCTCTTCCTCCTGACGGGAGATGAATCCACTCACTTGAAGTGCAGGTCCAAATGAAGGTTGCTGAGATTTTTGAGGTGTGTGTCAGCCCTGTGATTGATGTGTAGCCATGACACCTTCTCTGTGTAATTTCACAGACATTTGTGTGTATTTTTGAAGAAGCATGATTCCAGCTTAATTTTATGGTTCAGTCTAACTGTTGTGATTGACCCCCTTTACAGCGAGGAGCTGTTCTCTGCATGGATAAGCTGTTACACCCACTGTGCACTACTGTACCTAAACAATAAAGCAGGAAGTCGAGCGAGAAAAGCTGAATATTCAGCGTAACATTTTTCTCAGGAGATGGTGGAGACAATTAAACAGCTGGTGATTATTAGACTAACAACTTCCAGAACAGGATGATTTTGCTGCTGTTGTGTTAATAGGCAACTGTTATTAACTGTAACTGTAATTAATATGGTGATAATATGTAAAAAAAAATAAAAATAAAAATCTTAATGTCTTTGACGTCTGTAAAAATTATACTCTCTTATAATGGGAAAAAAAACTTTGGGCTGAATATATGATGATAGAAAGATACAAGGTTGGACGTAACAAAGTCAGTCGCCAGAAGACAATGTTGGCATTATACATTTCTCCAAATTACAGATATGTTACATTTGTATGTTATACTCATCATATCGACAATTATAAAATGATACAGTAAATGAGCTGACTTTGTCATCCAGAGGTAGAGGGAATCGGGGATGGCGCGTCACCTTGGTGCGATGTCTGCAGATCCCTGTTCAAGAACAGCAAACCACAAAACCAGTTGTTTTATCGACCCTTTGTTGTGTCTCCAGCATATTATTAGCACTCAAATGTGTGTATTTTTAAGCGATCCACTGCTGTGTTTCCAGCTGGGATTGTGTCACATAAAGCCCTTGTCTTTAAGCAAGACATCGCTGCATTTCCAGCCAGGATTGTGCCATCAAAAATGATTTTTATAAAGCAAAAACGCAATCTTTTCCATATCATATCCAAGTGGTTACACGTTAACCATAGCATTGTTGAAACATAAAGAACATATCCACTGCGTAATAATGTAGAAATGTAATATATCCGTGGTTTGCAGAAAAAACAATGCCAACATTTATTTGGGTCTTCTGGGCTGCATATATTACAGAATGCAGACCTTGCCTGCTTAAAATACATTTCACCTGGAGCCTTCAGTGCTGGAATATCACCTGGCAATTAACTATACATAATAATATTATTTTGTAACCTTGGCATGAGATGCTAAAATTAGGGATGTCCCGATCAAGTTTCCCCCCCACCCCCCAATCCCAATCCAAGTCATTTAATACTGAGTTTCTGCCGTTACAGAGTCCTAATCTGATACTCCTATTTTCCTAGATAAGACAGCTGCACAGTGCACACTACAAGCACATTAAAGTTATTAAAACCAATCCAGTGTATATGCCTGACAATTAAATAATTTTGCAACACATAAAAAAAATCCCTGCATCAAAGCTGTTTCTTTTTATTAATTTATTTATTACAAAATAAGTGAGTAGTTATAAAATTACAAGCCCTCTCTTTTATCTTTTTGGCCTTCTTGCTGTCTCGAGGAAATGTCCTTTTAAGAGAGTATTCTGCAGTGTTGTTGCCTTGGTGCAGCCTTTGCCTTGTTTCTAGTGAGTGTTTATTTCCATCGTCTGTATGTCTTTAGCATGGATTAGGTTACATTAATGAATTACTCTTATTGGCTTTTTGCTCCTGGAGCTTTTGATACACTCCTCCACCCACGGTTAAACACCATGTGCATTTAACTAAAGATGCTCTCAGATTGAGCTGGAATAAAACCAGTGCACACAATTTGAGGAAAAAAACAAGAACAAACAGTCTCATACTGCATTTTTGGTGATGTTTATGGTGTGCCGTGTTTTGCCGCTGGCAGGGCTAAGCTCCTAAGGCCCTGACACACCAAGTCGACGGTCAGCTGTCAGTCAAAGTTGGACAATAGGTGAGCGCCGGCTGCCCTCGTCTGTGCGGTGTGCCCCACACCATTAGCTCTCCTTATCGTTTGCTGACCTTTTTTTGGACAATGGTAAAGCAGAGCCCCTCGCCGAATAAAATCACACTGATTGGCAGTTCAGCTCAGCGACAGTGACAAATGGAAACAAAGAGCTAAAGTCGAGAGGGGGTGAGACCAAAATGAGCTTGTTATATGATATAGCATATTGTATAGGTGAGATTATTTTTCTTTAGCCACTGACTTCTTCTGACGTTTCATGATGGTTTGTGTTATTGTTCACTAGCACACGGTACATATGCTCTGTTCTTTCATCATCAGATTGTGTTGTTAATATGTTAACTGGCTACAGAAGACCATTGTCTGCGGGTATGGAGGGGTATGTCCTTTCATGCTGGCGCAGAACACGCGCGCTTGTAGGCCATCGGTATGGTGTGTTCATGTGCATTGGCTGAGACACCTTGACGAGAGGGGACGCAGCAGGTGGCTCTCGACGCCGCTGTTCTACGACTTCAGTTTGGTGTGTTTGGGCCTTAACACACACACGGGAGCTCAGCGGAGTGGAGGAGAAATAGACAGCAGGGGAGTTGGAGAAGGCTGCAGTCCACGTGTCTCTGCATGAGAGCTTCTACACCAGTGAGACAGCTAGTGTAAAACAAAGGATTAGATTCTCTATGTAACTCAATATAACCAGTCCTAAAAATTTACTTGACGGGTCCTGATACCAATCTTTGAGATTGGATCAGGACATCCCCAGCTAAAACGTTCTTTATTGGGATGTACTAAAAACACATCAGAACTACAAGTGTATGGCAATGTTTCCTTTTTTGAATACATTTTGTCTTTAGTGTGACACAATGCAGCAGTTTCTCAGAGTAATCTTTTTTCCTGGTTCAGCAGTTTCATGTTCAAGGTTTATTAGAGACAGGGCTGTTTTGCATGTGTCAAGCAAACTGAATATTTACACCTTGCCCTATTTTATATGTTAGCCAAAGTCTCATAAGATGGCCCTTACCTTGATGGTGTGACATGAAGAACATAAATCAATCAATACAAAGTAACTGGGAACACAGTCATCCTCATTCATCTCAGTCCAAATTCAATCACATTGTGGATCAACACCAGAGTGAGAACATTTATCTCCCCAGTCTGGATCCATCATCACTCATGGAAACGTGAGTTTTAGGAGTATTTTGTCTATTTTGTGCTATCGCTGTTGCCCTGTCCAGTTGTAGAGTCAGATTTACTCATATTTAATGAAGTTGGAATAAATGTATTGAAATTTTTTTTTTTTTTTTTAAAAAAGGTATCATTTCTGGGCCTGAAAAAGATCAAAAAGACGCATTTTAGTCACAGAAATACCTCAAACAATGTGCTCAGAAACACTGGTGTAAATGTGTTGCATGTCTTGTTTTTGTCATTTTGTACATAACCGCACATTTACTCACATATTTATGGACACGCACGCACACACACACCACATCCCTTGAGCTGCAAACGGCCCTGCTAGAGAACAGTGCTGATGGTGTCAAAGTCTTTGCTGATCTGAGAGCTGCTGGGCAGTGACTTGAGGTACTCCAGGTGCCTCCTGGCATCCTCCTGATTGTGTCTCACATAGTAGATGACGTACGCAATTACCATGGTGAACCATCCGAACATGGTGACGAACATGGCTACGTCGGTGGTCTTGTGATGAAAGTTGCAGAAGTTGATCCCTGAGTCCAGCACCTGGATTACCGGTTTGCCTGCGTATTCCTCCTGCACAGCTGTGTGGCAGATCACCTCGTTCACTGTCTCGGGGTCCAGACGCAGCTCCCTCAGGACCTCCTGCAGCGTGCACTCACAGTGCCACGGGTTGTTCGAGAGGCTGATTTTTGCTCGTAGACGTGCGAATGCCTCTTTGGGGACACTTTGGATACGGTTGTTCGATAGATCCAGGATGAGGAGGCTGTCGGAAACACCTTGAAATGCTCCGAGGTCCACAGTTTCAATGTCATTGTTAGACAGGTCCAGCTCCTGAAGGTAGTGCAGCTCTCTGAAGGCGTGGTTGGGGATGTGGGTGATGTGGTTGGATGCCAAAAGAAGAACAACAGTATCTCTTGGAAGATCTGATGGGATGTTTTCCAAGTTGCGAGACATACATTGTACCACGGTCATGCCACTCTTCTCTATACAGTGACAACTTGTGGGACAAGCCATCGCTGGTGCACTTGTGACAAATATTCCAAGGAGCAAGCCCCATAAGAGGGCAAAGCCATCAAAGACAGGAAATTTCCTGGGCATATCAGGCCCCGCTAAGTCCTGCATATTCAGCAGCGACTTCCCACAAGACCTGTCAGGCAAAAGCAATCATGGTTTCACCTGTTTCTTGGCATTAAATGGTGATGATGGCAGCTTCATTAGCTTTCAAAATTATCAACTTATTCACACCAACATGAGGGCCTCTCTAGAGATAATTCTTCAAAATGGATGTGATAGAGCCTCTGATAATCTTTTGAAATAGATTTCAAAAGAGCCCATCCAAAATTGTTGCTGCTCACTGAGCATATTCCAGCAGGGACCTGTAATCTCAGGTTTACTGTGGCAATGCTGAAAGCTTCAGAGAGTTGGGAGCTTGGCAGGTGAGGCTGGAATCAACACGTCATGTTGTGCACTGAAAGAACAAAAAAAAAAATATAGTTATTATATAGTATAATTATTCTTGAACATAAGAAAACAAAGCACTTGGTGCACAGTGCAGCTGAAGATGGCAATGACTGTTGTCAGGTTACATATGAAGAATCATCCAGACAGCGACTCCTGCTAAGATAAGTCATTTTCTAAGTGGCAATGGCAAATGCCTTTGTCTTCCCAAATTGAGCTGAGTAAATGGTATTCCCACAATGTTTACAAAATGTATAATGTGATTAGTGAGAAAAATCCATTTCACTTCAGCAAATCTCATAAACCAGGAGGCACAGTCATGGGTCAATGCCAGCATTTTCTCATTCAATTAGCCAAACGTCATTTTGTTCTGCATTGTCTGCTATAAACCTTACATGAAATTATCCTCTGATGCTGGAACACTTTATCAATATTAATTACATTGTTTCATAGCAGGACAAAGACGAAAAAACCCAACAATAAAAGAGTTCTTCTCCCTTTGACTCCAACAATGAGGATTTTTATTTATTTATTTATTTTTGCAGGGCTCCCTCTTTGCAGGCACTGCTGTCTCTCATGATAAGAATAGCCATGGGGTTTAAAATGACTCCATCTGTCCTACAGGAGGATCATCACTTCAGGACTGCGCACCCTCTGCTGGGCTAAACTGATCTCACAATGAACCCCTCACTGTGTTCGAGGTCATCCGCCCCATGGAGCCGGTGTCTTCTTCTCTTTTTTGTTCTTTTCTTTTTCCGTTTGTCTTTGGCAAAGGCCTGAGAGCTTGAGGCCACACACACACGCGCTCCCTCTCTCTCTTTCACACACACACACACACACACACACACACACACACACACACACACACACATGCAAAAGTCTCAAATAAGCGCTGCACGTTCTCATCAGTCTGAGCCCAGCAGGTGTGGACAAGATGTGGACACACACAAGGACGCCTGCAACACCCTGCACGTATGTTATGACACCACTACGTACATCATTAAGTAAAATAGCACGTGAGGTTTTACTCGTGCATGTGTGCTATAGCTTGTCCGATCTGTCCTCTATGATTTATTTCTTGGAGAGAAATAAGATGGCAAATTGGGTATCAAATGGGCAACAGATGTTTCCTTCAGGTTTGCAGGGAAGAATCTGTTTTAAAAAAATGCACCAAGAGAGTAAACATTTATGTAAGCTCAACACGAATATTAGTCGGACCTGTGAAGGCAGGAATACTTTAGGCAGCGATTTAAGTTTAATCAAGCTGATGATGCCTACATGGAGAGTAAGCTGTCTTATGGCGTTTTGTAATATTGCGGATTTTAATCACATTAACATGAGGCTCTGTGGTTAAAATATTACATCGGCAAAAAAGAGCAAATGACTTAATTAACAAGAACAGTATTTATAGAGGTACTTACCGGGAGAGAGTTTCATCCTTGGACGCATCAATAGCTACTTGTAATGCAGCCTCTGTGGCTAGAAAAGGTTTGTTGGAGAGAAATGGAGTGGAATGGAGAAATGGAGTTTGCTCATGTCACACGTGCATCACCGTTAGACCCCTGGAAATAAATATTAAAACAACATTCTAAAAAACAAACAAAAAAGTGCAGTCAGCTACCTCAACGCGATCACATGTCCGCGAGGGAATAACGGTAAAGTTCCAAAGCAGCACGCGGGGAAGTTATTAAATCTCCGAGTGAGCTGATTCATATCTCCGAACGTGGCTCTTTGTTATGTCTTCTCATAAAACACAAAAGTCACACTTGTTGATGATGATGGTGGTGGTGAAGGTGCTCACAGGCGAAGTCTCCAGGAGCAGCACCGGTCCGACTTATCACGCGCCACTCTCTCCGCAACTCGCGCGCACGGCGCCAGAAGGAGTCCCGGCAGCGCGTGGTTTGGACTGCTGTTCTGCTGGCAGCTCTCCTCGTCCTCCAGCTCCCCCCGCCTGTCCGACTGTCTGTCTGTCTGTATGTATGTTTGTCATCCTCCCTGGCTGCCCTGCCTGCGCCTCCCCTCTGCTCTGAACCCGTCTCCCTCTCCTCTAAGACAATTAACCAAGCAAACAAACAAACAAACAAATTACACATCAGGATATTGTTCCTGCATGCGCAACAGGAGGAAAACATTTATCATGGCAAGTATTTTAGTAATAACTCTTAAAATGACTTTTTGTGTCTTAAATCAATTCAAAACAACCTGACCCCTGGACCATTATTAGTTTTCAGTTTACAGAAATGTTCCATCATTTGAGTCCTACAGCATGAAATGCAGTGACAACATGTTAATTAAAGAGTGAAAGACAGGTTTTCTGAAATCAATTCTCTTGTTTAACAGCCCACTGCAAGACCTGCCTGTGTCACATTACACTGTGATGTATTGATTATTTTAATCACCTCAAGTGCTGAATCAAACAGACCAGATGTTAGGGATTTAGGCTGCACAGCAGTGGATCAAGATGTCATCTTTGAGGTGTACTGTATTTTAGTGGTAATTGCCCTATCCACAGGCTTATTCCACACACAAAGTGCATAGAAAGTAGACTATATGCCTTTTGACTTAATGCTACCGCTTTCTATGAATCAATCAAGCACCATGCATGTATGCATTATCTCACAGTAAATGCGAACCATTTTTCTAACCAAGCTATTAGGGGTGTTTTATTAAAGAGGTTGTTATGCAACATTTTTAACATGTACAGGAGGAGTGTAAACCACAATGAATACAATTTGCATCTGTATGGTAAATAAGGTCAGATCCCATGTGACCTCGACAAATTGATGGTACATGACTGAACATGCAGTAGGGCATTTAGCATTGTTGTGTTTTGTTTCATGTCATCAGTGAGATTCAAAAAATAAAAAAAAAAGCTATTTCAATCCATGCTGAGGAAACTTAAATAGCTGTTTTCAATGATCTGTGTTAAGTGCACTGAGCATTAATCTCACAGTATCTCGTGAAGCATACCGTGGTTAGAATTTAGTGCAGGTTATAAAACACAATGTCATGTCAGTCTTCTTAGATAACCTTGAGAATAACAACAAAAAAAGAAAATCTTGCACATATGGGTTTAGAGGAGTGAGTTTTACCGACGGCTTCAGTTCCATTTGTTCCTCCCCGTGTGATTCAAATGTAGGTCGGCGGGTCCCAGTGTTCCAGGTGTCATTTGAGCTACGGAGGAGTGGAGGTTTATCATGGGGCCAGTCCTGCTGCCACAGTCTCAAACCCACCGTGAGCCAGCTGGAATAATGAATTGAGAATGATGGGGCTGTTAGTCACGTAATATATTCACTACGAAAATCTTCCACCCCCTTCATACCTTCCATTAAAATGCTTTCTGGGAGATCCGATTGCAGTTGGGTAGTGTTTGACCACATGTAAGCACAGGTGCTAATGGTCCAAATAGCTCTGAGGGCAGTTTGTGATACAGTCAGTCAAACCCCCTCCAGAGGTGGTCAGGGACGCATTGTGACCACATTAATCACAAGTGTAAATGCAATTACATTATCAATCCAAATACAACAGATACAAGGGAGAAATTTTGTAAATGAGTGAGCCACTTCGAAGTCGTCGGAATTCGGCGCTTGGGCAGTGACTTGTAGCATCAGAAACCAACAAAAAAAGGTGTCCTTTAACATCAGCATGGTACGCAGCCTGTTGCCTTTATAGGTTAACGGAGCCTGGCAGCATCAGAGGGAAACTCGGTGGGACAAGGACGAAAGTTAAGGGGGAAAGGGGGGAGGGGTGGTGGAAGGGTCCAACAAACACCGACTTCTACCCGAAAGAGCGGTATTCGCGTCCTGTAAGATTCTAAAGCTAAACCCTGTTCTTATTTCCTAAACCTAACCACTTCCTTTTGTTGCCTAAACCCAACCATGTTTGTTTGTTGTTGAAGGAAAAAAAACTCAATTTGTGGTGTTGTACTGGCGTAGTGCATTTATTTTGAAACAGACTGTATGTAAACGTAAAATTTCCTGTGAAAACTAAAGTGTATCTTGAAAGAAGAAAACTTAACCGTGTGTTCCAGAATGTCAACAACTAACGCACCAAGGGCACCTTGCACATCGTATGTGGACATTAAAAGTCCATAACCAAAATGTCAATATGTGACGAGGCTGAACCGAGAACGTGTTGGTGAGGAAGTAGTCTCTATATACAGACTCTACATTCAGTGAATGTAGAGTCTGTAGGCAAACCCTGGAGATCTAGCCTCCGGAAGAAGAGCGAAAGAGCACTGGTTTCCAGTTGTAGGCTGTTTGTAGTCCGTGTGATACTGACCAATCACGTTTGAGCCAGCTGCAGTTGTTGCCAGGTTAAACACTCGTGCGGTGAACTAACGAGGCGGAACATAATTGGCGTCACTGCAAACTCTGAATCCATCGCAATGGTTCAGCATATTTACTTATATATAAACGGAAGTCGGAAACAGAAATTCGCCTCCTCCGCCCAAATCAAACCGGAATGCCAAAAAATCGGGGGTCTGCCCCCAGAGGCTGTATCGCCGTCTGCCGGAAGTCAGATGCCGAATACAGCATGGTGAGCATGGTGAGGAAGCAACCATTAGTCAGTTAGCGAGCTAAGTTACTAGCATGAAAGCAGCAAGCGAGGCACTCGACACTGGAGTCAAGACCCAAGTGTCTGCTTTCACTTTGGTTTGATGAAAGCAAAGACAATCAGTTGCTACAGTTGTCAAGATGCC